TTTCAATTATATATATATAATACTTGAAAACAAAATAGATAGCTATTTAATTTAAATTAATGAAGTATTTCAATATTAGAAAATCAATGTCAGATACAATGCATACAAATAGAAAATCAATAAACAGTTAGCATTTCCAACTAATTCAACTGTTTCTATACTTTCATCATTTATGTCGGTCAACATTAGGTGGTCTGACCGTTACAATAGTCAAACTAAACAAGTTGTTAATATGATTACACATTTTTAGCGTTACTGTCCACTGATAGTTAGCAATGAATGGCATATATTTAGAAATATAACGATTAATACATTGACAAACATTGGCTTTACTATCGCTGGCTTTGCGACACAATTAATAAATACACTCTCATTGCGGTATTATTTTATATTAAAAAATAATAATTTATAATTAATTAGTCACAGTTTTTATTTGAAAATATATTTGTGTTAAACTATACGGTTATTATAATGCAAAGTCAAGTCAAATAATTTAAACATTAATATATAATAACATTTGTACATTTATTATCAGATAAATTATATTATACAATATTAATAACAATTACAGCTAAATGTTAACAAATATTATACTGTAAGCTATTTATAATGTATAATAATACTGTATTATTGATGAATTATTTTGTGATCTCAATAAGTTCAACAAATATGACAAATCCCAACCAAAACAACTAAATAAATAAAAAAATATATTTAATATATTTATAATAAATTTGTAAATAAATTAAAACATTTTATAACTAGTGTCATACTTCATGTATTTTAAGACTATTAATAATAAATAGTTGCCAACAATAAAAAGCAATCCTATTTTTGCCACATTTTTCAATCATTGACATTAACTAAATATTTTACATAAAATATTAATATAATTTTAATAATAATTAACTTATTATATACTTATTATATTTGAATATTTGTATTATACAGACCTTAAGTTTATTTGAAATAAATACTTTGTGGTTAATAGTGACTGATATTAATGAGTTTAATATATAATATGTACGGTTGGTCTCATTGTAGACCAGTGTCGCCGATCGGGTGACCAAAAAGCTAATAAAACACGACGAACTGACCATTGATATAAAAAATGCTTTAATTACTGTCTGATTGCTATACATTGACTGATATAACTGTAAAACAATTACTGACGATACGACCGACCATATTATCAATAGATATTGAGACCAAAATTGTGTCAATTGTGTGAATCGTTTGTGTTTAGCATTAATTGTTTGCATAAATCGTGTAACAATTATATGAAACTTTATTTTAAACACTTGTTTGATATTTATAATATCGGGTTTATTGCAATACCATATAAATCTATTTAATTTTTCATTGAGTATCAAAATTTCATACATAAAATATCGACACATGTATATAAAATAGAGGAATTGGTAGTAATATATATTGGATTCATAGACACATTCAATAGTGAATAGCAATGAACCCATTGTTCCGTATAGTAGGGCATCGGCTAGCGGTACACTCATGAGGAACTGTAGAAAAGTAATCGACATAAAAGCTATTGGTGTTATACATGAAATATAAATACGTGTACTTTTCAATATATATCTAGATTTGCGATCCAATGTCTCTATACTAATATTTTCATCCGTATTGATAGTTTCATCATTAATTAAATAGTCGGTCGACTTTAGTGTAACGCTATAATAATAGTTAAGTAATTTGACAAACAATGCATTTGAAAAAAATATAATCGCCATAACATTGTACTCAACACGATATTGCCATTTGAAGGCAATGTTGCCCAACATTAGTGAATAGTTTTCATTGTTTAATATCAGTGACAATAGGTTTTGTATGAGTGATAGGATATTTGTCGCTAACATTAAATATGGATTTAAAAATAATGACTTTCTTTTTGATCCATACCTAACATGAATAATACCGAAACGATATAATAATTGATTCATATATAATAAGTTTGTTTTATAAATGTTTTGCTTAATTTGCAATGATTTTAGTAATAGTTTTGCCATAATTTATCGCAAAAATTTTAGAAAAGAAAACATAATATTTAGAATAGAAATGTAGAAATAGTGTAAAACTAAAACAATTGTTTTGAAATAATTTTATTTAAATTAATAAATAAAATTTTTAGTTGTATTTATAGCTTTTACAATGTTTATGACCTAAAATATAATTGTATATTGTATTTAATAATTAATGATTATTAATATAAATAAAATTTTTGTTACCAAAAATATAAGTAAGAATAATATTATTATTATTGTAAATCATAAATCATAAATTATTTTTAATTAGTATCGTACAAGTATTTTTTGTAAATATTGTGTTTTACTTGTATATATAATTTTTTAATTAATTTATATAAAAACAAAAAATATATTGTAATTATTTGTATTAAAACAAAAAAAAAACAATGTCAAAACAATGTAAAATTAACGATACTAAACCTTAATCAATTATATGAAAAAACATAAATATTTTTGAAAATATTACACAAAAAAAAATAATATAAATTACATTTTTATTTGGAACAATAGAAAGTTTAATTTATGATTTTATATTTACAAAATTAATTAACTTCAAGGTTAATAAACAAAAAAAACAAAATATTAAAAGACAAATTTTGATACCAAATTGTAACAAATATTTTTTTAATCAATTTAATTAAAATTAACATTAAATAGTTTAATTTAACAGTTAATAGTTAAACATTTTAATATTTTAAACATTATTACATTAGTTAAAATTAGATAAAACTTTACTATTAATATATGAACATATATATCAAAATTTATATTTTAATTTTACATGCATTACAATACAGTAAATATAGACATTTTTAATATACATATAAAATAAATTCTATAAAATATAATAATTTTTAAAAAATTATGAGACATAATAATAATAAAATTAAAGTAATACTATTGTTCAAAAAAATTAAATACTATATATAAAATAATACAGAATATTATATTTAATAAATAAATTATAATAATATATAACAGACGCCAGCACTTTGTTTAATACATTTATTTACTTCAATTGATTTCATCACTTAATGTCACAACTAATGTAAATATTAAATGTTTGAACAGTTTTATAATTTGTAACAAAATATTTCTATTAAAAACTGTAAACTAAATATCATGTATGAAAAAAATGAAATAATTTTAAGCATTTTTTTGTCGTAAGATTTTTTATTTTTTGATTAAGTTTTTCAAATAAAGTGATCAAAAAGTTTTCATCTGAGAGTTGGTTCAAAAAAAATGTTTCGACAATCGTTTGATCGTTTCGGCGATGATTTGGCCGAACTATTGCTGCGATATTTGCCTCTTGAAGACCGACTACTACTCGAATCGGTGAACAATCAGTGGCGTCGAGTCCTGTGTCGCGGACTCGTCGATCTGGTCATTGATTTTTTAATAGACGACAACAATATCTACGCCAATGATAAACCGTTCGCAGAGCTGATCGCCAAATGTCCGAACTTGACGTCCGTATACTTTCGGCACCCGTTTGTTGTGACCGACAAAATGATCGGCGCTTTAGTCGCAAATAGCCGTCATTTGAGACATTTTTCTATGACTTTCGGTGATCACAACAGACTCGACGTCAGCGACGAAATGTTTGACCGCTTTTTTCGTTTAATTGGTCCACAACTCTGGACACTATCGCTGACAGGCGTAGACTGTGTGGACATCGAACCAGTGATTACCAGAAATGTCAAGTGGTGTACAAATCTCCGGAAACTGGACATTGGTTTCCGATATAAACACAAATCAATGTTTTATCTGCTAATCGGCGGTAATAATAAAGAAGATATTTTAATGACACGTTTGAAATCTGTGTCGATTCGGGTGATCAACGATTCACGGCTAGATTTGGACACATTTGCTGCAAAATATGGCCACCAATTGATATCATTGGTAGTCAATGTTGACCGAGACTGTGACGATAAACGCGTTTTAGACTCGTTGGCCACTTGTTTATGTCAAATGCACAGATTGATGGACTTCGGGATAAAGATCAGTCCGCAATATATTGATAACGGTTACCTTCGGGATCTATTGACTCGAATGTCCACCAATTGTCGCGATTTGCGGAGACTATCAATAGACTATAGAGTTTATTTGGTGAATACAATAGATGTCGATGTTTTGAAGCAACTGTTGGCCACAATTGGTCACAACTATCGGCAATTGCGACGATTGTCTGTTGTGTGTCAGATACCGAAGTTTTCCAGTTTTTTACTGACCAGTGATTTATTCGGTTTGTTAAAACAGTTGAAGCATTTGTCAATATGTAACGGACGCGAAATGGGTTGCGGTTCGGTTCGGGTCAGCGATGAGTTTTTCAATCAAATTGACCGACATTTGCCACGACTCAGCTATCTGTTTGTGACCGCCGGTAATCTGACTGTCCAAGCGTTAAACAGTTTGGCAAACTTGACGCACATTCAACACGTTTGGGTTACTTTTTATCGGGTGGCCATCGATGACACCGATATCAATGAGTTTATCAATAAATGCCCTAAACTTAGAAAAATAAAGTTTTGTGCTATAAATAAATCAATTTGTTGTTAATGTTTTAAATAATTTTATAAATTTTTGTGTATTAATAATTAAAATAGTTTAGATTTTTAAAAAAATATATAATAAATTAATTAAATATTGTAGTATTGTATATATATGATATTTTAAACTATAATATTGATAGTTATCAGTTATCTCATAAAATAAATATATATTTATTGTTACATTTAATAATTTTTTGATATTAATTATTATTATTTTTTTGTTGTAAAAATTAAATCAAATATTATAATATTGTGATCATTAATTTAATTACTGTAATATATTGTTTTTATTATTTTTTATTTATTTACTTTTATAACTACATTATTTAAAAATAAAAATATAATTACATACAATTAATAATTATAATATATTTGTCTAAAATAAAAACAATTAAAAAAACAACTAATAATAGTTTTTCCAAAAAACATCACACGATTCATAGTATGGATTGTCTAAAATTTGTTGTAAATTATTTGGACTCAAGTTTTTTACTTTTGTTTTTGAATTACTTAAAAATTTTGGCCAATGATTGTCAGGTTTACTGATATAATAAATAAAAATAAAAGTTAATTACCTATAATATTGAGTAAATATGTTTTTTTAAAATTAAATATTAACAATATATATATATGTACCCATATTTTGCAAAATTTGTCCACAATTTCATTGTGTATTTTGTAAACTCAATATCGGTATCGGTATCACTATTATCTGGACTGACAATAGGTTTGCCCCAAACAAATGGCAACTCCATTGCATGACATATACCCATAGTTTGTTCATCGCATCCGAATTGTTGTGCAAATGATGACAATTGATACCTAAGCTCATAGAAGTAAACATTGCTGTTATCTACCGGTTTCCGAGTGGCCATATGTTTGGCAAACAAATAGGTCGGGCATTTGAGAGACACATCGCCGTAAAACTCATAGAAAGCCCACTTCAGTGACTGCGAGTTATTGATGTCCACACCTTTTAGATAGTAATCGGCGACTATCTGTTCATCTAAATTGTGAAACATTTTGTCCACTTTTTTGACAAAATGTTTAAATATGTCGACATCAATGTCCTCATCCAATGGCCAATACAAGTATTTTATTAGTGATCCCTCTTTGGCATTAACACCGGCCATGATGTCAATATCTGAGTTATATGTGTTATCCAAAAATGCCTTTTGAGCACTGGTAGGCAAAAACTCTGTGTCTAGTGTTGGATAAGTTAAATAACCAAATGTTACAAACGGAAGAAACTCATTGGCGTCGCCAACTTTGCGAAGACATTGAACCCAATTATTTGTAGTACAGTTCAACTTTCTTGCCATAAGTTTGTTGTCTACTAGTGCTTCTTCTCTAGTACTAACATCCCTGTCCTTGTTATACATATGGGCACCGCTTTGCATAATAGCTCTCTTGAATAGACCTTTAGATAGCGGCGACAGTATGTGTGCCGATATTGACCAACTGCCGGCTGATTCACCAAATAAAGTGATCTGATTGGGATCGCCGCCAAAATACTGTATGTTTTTGTGTACCCATTTGAGTGCCATGAGCTGGTCGTACAATCCTTGATTGCCCGGTGCCGACTTGTCATCGCTATACATAAAACCCAATTTTCCTAACCGGTAGTTAATTGTCACAACCACTACGTCCTCAGTGGCCAAAGCAGTTCCATTGTACATATCGGACGACCCGACACTGTGACCGCCGCCGTGTATCCAAAACATTACCGGATGTTTAGTGGCCGCACGCGTGTAGTCAACAGTTGGTGTAAATATATTCAAATATAGACAGTCTTCGCTCGTGTAGTTGAGCTCCGGGACAAACGGATGTCTTTCCTGTATACATGATGCCGGCAATTGTGTGCCATCTATAATATCCTGGTAATATTATCAATGTTATATTAATTATTTTATCTATTTAATTAACATTTTATACCCCGCGTGGTATCTTTATAGGCACTGGACGGGCAAACCTTAATTCGCCAATAGGTGGTTCCGCATAGGGTATACCCAAAAATTGATAGACAGTTTTATTGAGCACCCGTATTGTCTGTCCACGGATAGTGCCCGACGTTGACCGCACATATACACCAGAGTAATCGGTAAAAAATATATATTTTACTAAAGTATAAACTGTTAGACCTAATAAAATGTTGAAAAAAATTTTGTTAAACATATTTTATTTTTGTTAATATTAAATACAATAGTATGTGTTGACTATTTGTTTAAAAATAAAATAAAAATAACTTTATATAAATAATCTAAAACACTTAACGCCATACAAATGCACTTAAAACTAAACTTATAAAATGTATAAATATATTTGAAAAAGTTTATAACATTATAACATAAACAGTGTGTCTAAATAGCTAGTGTACTGTTAAACTAATTTTTGATAATAAATTCATTTGATTGCCAATAGACTAATGAGATAATAAATAATTTGTATTATACTATTATATTGTATTTTTTAATATCATTAATAAATTATTTATTAAAACTTGTTGTGTCGTCTAAATGATTTGACATTTATTTTTAATGACAAGGATTTTGACAACAATTTTGTTGAATTAATATTATTAAATACCGGTATAAAACTGTTTATTATATAATAACTATTTTTGTCTATTTTATAAACACAACATTGATAATAAAAAAAATATATGGGAAATTTTCTAATACATATGATTATCATCATTTTTAAAGTGTATTTTAAACATATAATTAAAAATAATCAAGGACAACAAGTTACACATAATAATAATAATAGTGTTATATTATTTTATTTTTAATCTATTACATTTTATAATGTTTATTTAAAAATATTTATATAACTTATTATATTTTAATACTTATAATCATTTTTTTATTTAAAAATATTTGTTTTTAAAAGACTAAAAAAATACTAAATCTATAGAATAAATTGCTGGTTATATTTAATAATATTAATAATATTTAAATAAATTAAAATAACTTATTATTTACATTAACTTATTTTAAGTCAAGATAAATAAACAAAATTAATGTTTAAAATTTATTATTTATTTAAAATATAGACAAATAGTATATTTAAATTAAATATTTAGAAAATACTCAAAAAGTTGAAAATACTGAATTCAATTAAGTTTATATTAAAATAAGTATTTAAAATAAATATTTAAAATAAATTTTTATATGAAATAATTTTTCCAAAATGTGTCACACGTTTCCCGAAACGGGTTTTCTAACAAAATTTCAACATTTTTCGGATTCAATTCGCGTACAAATACAACATTACTATCGGTTTTGTTTAACATTTTTGGCCACAAATTTTGAGGATTACTTAAATAAAATATAAACCTAAAATTATCTGATAAAATAACTTTTAATCTGTTAAATAAAAATGTAATAAATTAATGTTATATTTTCATCTTTATTTATTAGTATAATGTCATTATCTATACATTTATATTTAATTATTACAATTATGTAGAACTATAGTCAAAATATTATTGAATTAATTTAGAAAAAGATTTTTCCAAAAAGTATCACAAGTTTCATGAAATGGATTTTCAAAAATTTTAGTCATATTTTTAGGATTCATATCGCGAACAAAAACATTATTGAATTTCTGACTTTCAATTTGTGGCCAAATATTATCGGGTTTTCTATAAAAAAATATACAAAAAAACAATTTTTAATAAAATAGTATAACTTTTTTTTCGTTGTATTAAACTATATAGTATTATAAAATAATTGGTCATTAAATTATGAAAAAATACTTTATAGTATGTAAACCTAACCTACAGTACGAAAAAAATAATAACTTATTATAATTACCCAGTTTTAGCAAACTCTGTCCACATTTTTATAATTGTTTGGCTAAATGTTTTGTCAATTGGTTCAAACATTTCGGGTACAATAAACGGCAAACCAAACACATAGGGTATGTCTGCTCCGTGACAAATGCCTCTATCGTGAACATTACAATTTATTATTTTACCAAACTTTTCGCTCAGGTATGTCCACTCATAGAAATAGACATTTTTGTTGATCGGTTTAATTTTGTTCAATTGTTGGGCAAACAAATATGTGGGACACTTAAGGGCTACGTCACCGAAAAAATCTTGGAAAGCCTTTCTCAGGGAAGTTGAGTTAGTTTTATCAATAGATTTCATATAAAAATCTTCAATTTTTGTAGTATTCAAACCGTACATAAAAACGTTAGTTTTGTTTATTAAATCAGTAAACTTTGCAATAGTCATGTTATCCGTTGACACCGCTAGTAAGTTATCGCCTACTGATCCCTCATCGCGGGTGACGCCAGCAATCAAATCAATATCTATATTATTTTTTTTTATTGTAAAAACAATGTCATTTGTGTTATTATATAGTATAAACACATTACTATTGTATTTACAAACAAAATAATTAGTTTAATAACAAACCTGAATTAACTGTATGTTTTTGAAATGCTTTTTGTGCGCGCACTGGTAGAAACTCAGTGCCAATCAATGGCAATGTAAACGGTGTTTTCCAGACATTCAGAATAAGTTCTGGACTAACTTTCCTCAAACAGTCCAACCAATTGTCTGAACAATTCAATTTATGTGCCATTTGTTTGTTCATATCCAGTGCCTCGTCTGTAGTAACTGAATCCCTATCCTTGTTAAGCATTATTGAACAACTTTGCATTATGGCTCTCCTGTATAGTCCTTTAGTTAGGGGTGACATTATATGTGCCGATACTGACGCACTGCCACCTGATTCCCCGAAAATGGTCACCAGATTGGGATCACCACCAAATGCCGCGATGTTATTCTTGACCTATAATTATGTTATTAAAAGTTTACTTAATTAAATTAATACAAAAATTGATGTAAAAATTAAGTCTAATTACCCATTCGAGTGCCAACATTTGGTCAAACAATCCGACATTTCCCGGAGCCGACTTATCCGCACCGTATAGAAAGCCAAATACACCCAATCGATAATTAGTGGTCACCACTACTACATCGTTGGCGGATAAAACTGAGCCATTATAGTACCATAAAAATATTGATCCGCTAACAAATCCCCCGCCGTGTATCCAAAACATTACCGGTTTTAAAGCATTGGAAAGTGAATGGTTGACCCGATTGGGTGACCATATGTTTACAAACAGACAGTCCTCACTGAGTGCTAGATTGGCATCTATTGCGCTAACAGACGGCTGCAAACAACTGTTTTTAGGTGTAGTGGCGTTAATGATATTCTGAATAATGATGTATTTATTAATAATGAACTCAATATTTCACAAAATTATTTGATGACATACCGGAGCCGGTTTTAGAATGGGTTGTGGTTTTGCAAAGCGAAGTTTACCGACTGGTGGTTCGGCAAACGGTATACCTATAAACTCGTCTATTTGTTTATTAAGCACTTGTATGGTCTGTCCTCGAACTACACCGGATGTCGTTTTGATATCAATACAATTGGTTATATTAACCAAATATATAATAACCAAAATTATGACAATTTTCATTATTAATGTTTTATATTTTATATGTAATATAATATATTAATATGTATTAATATAAATATTATAACTTATATAAAAAGTTGTCATTATTTATTTGATTTATTTTCAATTTAATCAATATAAATTACCAATATTTTATTATATTATTCTATTAACACTTATAGTTTATATAATATTGTTTATTTCAATTTTTTATTTATTTATTTATAGATATCAATTTTAGTGCAAATCAAGCAAATTAGTACTTAACTGTACTAAATTACAAAAATACAATTATAACTAATGACTTATTGTATAAATACTAAATAATAATCATATATAAAGTAAATTTATTATTGTTACATAAAATTATCTGTATTAACATTTAATTTTTAATTTATGTAAAAATTTTTCCAAAATATATCACAAATCTCGTAAAATGGATTTTCAAAAATTTTTGTCATATTTTTGGGATTCAAATCACAAACCAAAACATTATTGGATTTTTCACTTTCAATTAGTGGCCATAGATTATCAGGTTTACTAAAAAAAAAAATTATATTAAAATAAAATCATAATTTTTAAAATTTTACAAAAAGATATAAATGTTATTATAAATTTCAAAAATAACATATAATATTTATTTATGTTAATATTTTATGCAAAAAATAATAACTAATAACTACTGTATTAATTTTAAACTTATTATTATTATATATACCCTGTTTTAGTAAATTCTGTCCACATTTGTATTATTGATTTGCTAAATGTTTGGTCAATTGGTTCAAACATGTCGGGCATAATAAACGGCAAACCAAACACATATGGTATGTCTGATCCGTGACAAATGTCTTTCTTATGAATATTGTTGGGTAAATATTTTGAAAACTTTTCGCTTATGTATGTAAACTCATAGAAGTAGACATTTTTGGTTTTGGTTTTAATTTTGTTCAATTGTCGGGCAAACAAATATGTGGGACACTTAAGGGCTACGTCACCGAAAAAATCCTGAAAAGCCCGTCTCAGAGCCGATGCGTTTGTTTTGTCAACTGATTTAAGATAAAAATCTTCAATTTTTGTTGCATTCAAATTATGAAATAATAAATCAGTTTTGTTTATATAATCAGTAAACTTGGCGACAGTCATGTTGTCCAATGACACAGAAAGTATGCCACCGGCAATTGATCCCTCATTGCGTGTGACGCCGGCAATCAAATCGATGTCTATTATTATTATTATTATTATTATTATTTCATTTTATAAAAATGTTAATTGAATTTTAATAATAAATGTTATAATTTTTGTTGTTATTTATAATAAATCCAAACCTGTATTAACTGAATGTTTTTGAAATTCTTCTATTGCCCGAACCGGTAGAAACTCTGTGCCTATTAATGGCAATATCAACTTTAGCTTAAAAACTAACTGTTCCGGTCTAACATTCCTCAAACACTGTAACCAATTGTGTCCAGTACAATTCAGTTTATGTCCAATTTGTTTATTCAATTCCAGTGCCTCCTGTGTACTGATCGGATCCCTGTCCTTATTGAACATTAGTGCCCCACTTTCCATTATAGCTCTCCTATATAATCCTTTAGATAGAGGAGACAGTATGTGTGCTGACACTGATATACTGCCCGCAGATTGACCAAAAATGGTCACCTGATTGGGGTCACCACCAAATGCCTCGATGTTATCTTTTACCTAAAATTATAACATTTTTAATAATTTATCAAAATTTTACTTCAATATATTATCTAATCAAGTGTCTAATTACCCATTTGAGTGCCAACAACTGGTCATATAATCCCGCATTTCCCGGAGCCGACTCATCCGCACCGTATAAAAAACCTAATACTCCTAATCGATAATTAGTGGTCACAATCACTACATCATTGGTGGCTAAAACTGAACCGTTATATAAGTTTAACAAAAATATTGAACCCGAAACAAAGGAACCGCCGTATATATAAAACATAACGGGTTTTTGACCGCTTTGTACGGACTCATTGACCACCCGATTAGGTGTCCATATATTGACAAACAGACAGTCCTCGCTATACGTTTGATTGTTTCGTGAAGGCAATTGCCAACAACTGTTTTTAGGTATTGTCGCGTCAATGATATCCTATAAAATAATTTAATGTATTTATTAATAATAGACAGTATTTCACACACAGAGTCTTAAATAGCGGCGACGACAGCGGCGATGCTATTAATTTCAATTATCTGATCAACAATATTTTTGATTTAAAAGTGACCAAGGGCATTGTTGTAGATAATTTAAAACTAAATAAGATTCTAATTAGGCATTTTTTAATTAATTACATGATTGGGCAGATAATTGCAGTCGACTATTATTTTTATCACTTTTTTAACAGTCGACTGTGTATTATATGGGCAATCATACAATTAATTAAAAAATCACCAAGTACAATCTTATTTAGTTTTAAATTATCTACAACACTGCCCTTGGTCACTTTTAAATCCAACGTATTGCTGAACAGATAATTGAAATTAATAGCATCGCCGCTGCTATTTAAGACTCTCTATCTCTCTCTCTCTCTCTCTCTCTCTCTCTCTCTCTCTCTCTCTCTCTCTATTTCACATCATTACTTCAATTGCAATAATACAGTATTATATGACTGAACATCACATACTTAATATCTATTATACATATACAGTACATACTGTATATCTATTAATATAGATACATATATCTACAGATGATATATAATGAGTTATACAGTATAATATACACTTTAACTCATTAATAAATTAATAACAAGATTATTATTTATTAAATATTAAATATATATTTAGATATTAAATATATATTTAGATATTAAATATATATTTAGATATTAAATATATATTTAGATATTAAATATATATTTAGATATTAAATATATATTTAGATATTAAATATATATTTAGATATTAAATATATATTTAGATATTAAATATATATTTAGATATTAAATATATATTTAGATATTAAATATATATTTAGATATTAAATATATTTATTATATAATATGTTATAAAATCATTTTTATATATGAATATATTTTATAAATTGAAAAAAATCAATGTAACATATTTTTATTTAATAATTATAATATTAAAAATGATAATAAAATAAATTAATTCATATAATATACTGAAAACAGTCAAAATTCTTGTCAATTATTTAATTGTCAGAAAATAAAAGATCAAATTAGATAACATACCGGAGCCGGCCTTATGATAGGCTTAGGTTTTGCAAAGCGAAGTTCACCGACTGGTGGTTCGGCAAACGGTATACCTATGAATTCGTCTATTTGTTTATTAAGCACTTGTATGGTCTGTCCTCGCACTACACCGGATGTCGTTTTGATGTCAATACAATTGGTTATATTAACCAAATATATAATAACTAAAATTATTTGAATCTTCATTATAAGGTGTTATTAATTGTTTATTTCTATTTTATTAATATCTTTTAGTATTAATAAAACTTTTACATTATTGTCATTTAATAAAAAAAAACCTCAATTCAAGTATTGCTTATTTATTTATATATTTATTTATATCACATTAGAATTAATATATAAGTATTTATTATTATTATTATTATTATAACTAATAATTATTTGAGGTTAAGTAACTTTTGAAGTTAAGTAACTTTTGAAGTGTCCTTTTGAAGTTAAGTAACTTTTGAAGTGTCCTTTTGAAGTTAAGTAACTTTTTTTGCCGATATTGGAAAATGAGATGATATTGAATATTATTATTTATCGTATAAAAATAAGCATTATTTTTTTTAAAAAATTGTTAACAATTTTATAATACTTAAAATTAATTTTTAGTTAAAATTTACGTAATTTAAACAAAAAACCTTTTTATTTTAAAGAATTTAATTTTCAAAAAAAATACTGAAAAATTAATAAATAATTTTAATAAAAAATGATATAAATGACAAAATAATGTAATTATATAATAGTAAATTATAAAACACTTAACATTTTCAAAATTGTCATTAAATAAATGTTGTTATATTATATTATTAGTCACTTTAGATTTCATTTTCACTAAAATGTTATTAGAAACACATTATAATAAATATTATTTTTAAAAAAATTATTTAATCAAATTTTTAATATTAAAAATAAACTTTTATAATCATTTTAAGCTACTTTTTCAATGTCTTTTAATAGACAGACTAATTATAAATATTAATAAATATATTTGTAATTAATGTGATTCTATAATAGGAAATTAGATTATATTTATATACAGTATAGTTGAATAACATTTGTAATTTCATTAACATTTGTAATATATTTTATACTGACAGTTATCAAAATGAAATATTATGAAAACAACAACAATATATATATAACTTATAATAAATGAATAATTAATAATAAGATTTTTTCCATAATGAGTTCATATAATATTTATAACAAGTAAATAAATCAACTAATTATGCTAATTATTATTATATATTGTAAATAACAAAAAAAATTGTTATTTATTACTTATTAATAGATAGGATTGGGGCAAATTCACTCCCTCGTTTTATTTTCCAAAAGTTTCCTATTTTTCCTGATCCGGATGAATAAGCTATTGAAGAAAAATAAAATATTTTCCCTATTTTCCGATAAAAATTTGGATGAATTTTATTGAGGAAATTTGCCCAAACAAACACTACTTTGTAATAAATAATTATATTTTGCAATATTATTGCTCTGTATAAATGAAATATATATAAATAGACGATGAGTTTTGTTATTTTATAATGAATAATCTTATTTACCTGTATAAATAACTTTAAATACAGGTAAATAATAATTTTATTGCTAAAACACTCAATAAATCAAATATTATAATAATTTATTAAAAAATAATAAATATTGATTAAGAGTAAAATTACAAAATACAAATATTTTAGTACTTATTAATCAACAATTTTATTACAAATAAATTATTTAAAATAGATTTTTCTGTAATACTGAAACTATATATATATATATATATTAACATTAGAAAGAGAGAGAGAGAGAGAGAGAGAGAGAGAGAGAGARAGAGAGAGAGAAAGAGAGAGAGAGAGAGAGAGAGAAAGAGAAAGAGAGAGAGAGTGAGAGAGTGAGTGATTCATTGTAAATGTTTTATTGTAACGTTTAGTAATAAATACTGTATTATAGCAATACATTGCAATCACATGTTTGTTGTGTATGTATTGTTATTAGAGAATCTTAAACAGCGTCGGTGGCGATGATAGCTGTGATGATATTAATTACAATTATCTGATCAACAATACGTTGAATTAAAAAGTGACCATGGGCTATGTTGTAGATAATTTTAAAGTAAGTAAAATTGCCCATGGTCACTTTTTAATTCAACGTATTGTTGATCAGATAATTGTAATTAATATCATCACAGCTATCATCGCCACCGACGCTGTTTAAGATTCTCTAATAACAATACATACACAACAAACATGTGATTGCAATGTATTGCTATAATACAGTATTTATTACTAAACGAAAAATTATTCAATTACTAAATTTAATTTTATTACTAAACTTATTTATTACTCTCTCTCTCGCTCTATCTCTCTCTCTCTCTCTCTCTCTTTCTTTCTTTCTTTCTTTCTTTCTTTCTAATGTAATATATAAAAATAACTGTTGTATAGTAATATTAATATATATATATATAACTCATGTTTTGTTTTTTAAAACAAAATATTTTTGAAATTAAATAATGTTTTCGTTTAAATAATAATTTTTCCAAAATGTATCACAAGTTTGATGAAAGGGGTTATGAAATATTTTTGACATATTATTGGGATTCATATCGCGAACCAAAACAATATTGGATTTTTGATTCTCAATTTGTGGCCAAAGATTATCCGGTTTTCTATATTAAAAAATTAATGATTAAATACAATAATATTGACAATTTTAATATTATTAAAATTAAATAAATTATAATTAATAAATTAATTTGATTAAAATAATATGATGTTACTAATTGTTAGAAAAAAATTTAGTAATTTTTATCAAGAATTTTGTCACAAATGTATTTATAGTATACTATTGGTGTAAACATACAGAAATATTTTTAAATTATATAAATTAATTTATTAATACCCTATTTTAGCAAACTGTGTCCACATTTTTACAATTGTGTCGCTAAATGGTTTGTCAATTTCATCAAACATATCGGGCATAATAAACGGCAAACCAAACACATATGGTATGTCCACTCCATGACAGATACCTTTCTTATGAATATCACATTCAATATATTTTGAAATTTTTTCACTCAGATATGTCCACTCATAAAAATAGACGTTTTTGTTTTTGGCCTTAATTTTGTTGAATAGTCGGGTAAATAGATATGTGGGACACTTGAGTGATAGGTCACCAATAAAATCATCAAAAGTCCAACTAAGTGCCGATGAATTAGTTTTATTTATTGATTTAAGATAAAAATCTTCAATTTGTATTGTATTCAGGTTATGAAATATTAAATCAGTTTTGTTAATATAATCGGTAAACTTGGCGACAGTCATGTTGTCCATTGACACCCTAAGTAACTGATCGGCTAACGATCCCTCATCACGGGTAACGCCGGCAATCAAATCGATGTCTATTTTATATTAAATTAATATTTAAATTTTAGTTTTAAAATAAATTGTATAAATCATAAATTACAGTATTATTGATAATCATAAGACCTGTATTGACTAAATGTTTTTCAAATTCTGTTTGTGTCCGAAACGGTAGAAATTCGGTGCCTTTTATTATTGGTAGTGTCAGTAGAAAAGGTGTAACTAACTGTTCCGGTTTGACATTTTTCAAACACTGTAACCAATTGTCAGTACAATTTAGTTTATATGCTATTTGTTTATTCAATTCCAGTGCCTCCTGTGTACTGATGGGATCCCTGTCCTTATTGAACATTAGTGCACCACTTTCCATTATAGCCCTACTATATAGTCCTTTAGATAGCGGTGACAGTATGTGTGCCGATACGGACCAACTGCCGGCCGATTCACCAAATATGGTGACCTGATTGGGGTCACCACCAAATGCCTCAATATTATCTCTTACCTATAAATACATTATTATAAATATAGTATATTATTGCACATTTCAATAATAAAGTTATGTGTCATTTAATTACCCATTTGAGTGCCAACAATTGGTCATACAGTCCTACATTTCCCGGAGCCGACTCATCTGCACCGTACAAAAATCCAAACACTCCTAACCGATAATTAGTGGTCACAACAACAACATCATTGGCAGCTAAAACTGATCCATTATACCACCATAAAAATATTGAACCAATAGTAAAGCCACCGCCATGTATCCAAAACATTACCGGTTTCTGGCCATTTGTCCCTGGCTGGTTGACCCGATTAGGTGACCATATGTTGACAAATAGACAGTCCTCACTAAATGTTTGATTGTCTCCCTGATTCAACTGCCAACAACTGTTTTTAGGTATTGTTGCGTTGATTATATCCTATGAATAAAGTAATATTTATAAATTAATGTATTATAAAATATTTTATATTATTTTTTGATTTTATAGATTGGTGTTATAGATGACATACCGGAGCCGGCTTTATGATGGGCTGTGGTTTTGCAAAGCGAAGTTTACCGACTGGTGGTTCGGCATACGGTATACCTATAAACTCGTCTATTTGTTTATTAAGCACTTGTATGGTCTGTCCTCGCACTACACCGGATGTCGTTTTGATGTCAATACAATTGGTTATATTAACCAAATATATAATAAATAAAATTATAACAATTTTCATTACTGATGTTTTTTATAAATTTATTTATGAATTTATAGGTTATGTTTATTTATTAATCCAATTACACTATACATTACAATCACTTATTAAAAAAACAAAATAAAACATTGAATATTTATATTACTCTTAAATTATTAAACAATTGTTTTTAGGGTATCTCTCAAATAATTGTGAATAGTTGATTTTATAAAAGTTATTTTTATCTATACTATCTCTGAATAACACTTAATTTTTTTTATATCTTCAAGGAAAAATAACAAAATAACTTTTAATTTCAAAAAAATAATACTTAATATTAATAGTGTGTACTAATGTTATACAGTATTTGAATTTTGAAGTATATAATTATTTTCATTGCTATAAATTCATGAAAAGTTATAAACATATTATATATACTGTATATACTATTTATCAAAATAAGTTAATTAATAGTTAGTAACCTAATTATTATTTTTTTTATTAGCTTAGTGTATTTAATATAAAAATGTATTAAATATATTTGAATAGTATAACGAATATACAATGTATATTATACATTGTACAGTATAATAGCTTAAAGTATATGTTAAAATGTTTTAGTATTAAGGATATAAAAAATAAGAGGAAATATGTTATTAAACATTGATATTTTAAAAACTAACATAAAATAAAATTCAATATAAACATCATAAATTTATTTTGGTTTTTTATACATAAATAGTAATTATTTTGTTATTGTACAGTATTTATATAAATATTTTTTTTATTCTGTATTGAAAATTGTGTTTAAATATACATTAGTAGACGTTGACATAATTTTTAACAATAAGTCACATATGGATAAATAATTGAATATAAGTTTTTGATAAATTGATATATTGATTAAATAAATTGAATCTTTTTAAATTGTATAGAAATAGTGAGCTATAAATAAAACTTAGTTAATATTTATTCATACATATTGTATAAATTACTATTTAAATTAAAAATTAAAATATTACAGTATTAATTTATTAATATTAGTATATATAGAGAAATATTAATATAGATATGATTTAGGTTTATTTAATCATGTAGTATACCTTATATAAACATATAGTACTAATTATTTAGTATAGTAATCAATAATATTAGATCAATAAGTAATACATTAACAGTATTAAAACTGTATAAACAAATACAATAAAATATATTACAATTCATGTACAAAAATAATATAATGCAATACTGTATTTGATATGATTTACTACTAATAAATTAGTCGTTACACAAATCATTTTGTATATTAATTTATAAATGATTTATTATATTAATAATTATTTTAATTAAAGTACTGTCTTACAATTTATTGACTATATATATACAGTATATATATATTTATATAATCATAATAACAAGTTTATATAAAATAATTTTTCCAAAATGTATCACATGTTTGTTGAAAAATATTTTCTAATATTTTATTTTTTGGATTTAGTTCGCGCACTAAAACTTTAGTAGTGTTCAACATCTGAGGCCATAGATTATCGGGATTTCTGTAATACCATAAAAATAAAAATGTTTTTGTAAAACATTTAAAACAAATACAGTAGAAGCTATTTATAATTTACCCAAATTTTACAAAATTAGTCCATTGCTTCATAACTGTAGCACTAAATGTTTGATCAATTGGTTCAAACAGTAGGGGTGAACTAAATGGTAGACCAAACACATAGGGTATGTCCGCCCCGTGACATATGCCTTTAACATGAGTATCACAACCGAGATATTTGCCAAACTTTTCCGCTAAATATGTTAACTCATAAAAGTAGACATTTTTGTTGGCCATAGACTTGATTTCGGCTAATTGTCGGGCAAACAGATATGTCGGACACTTGTTTAATAGATCACCGAAAAAGTCATTGAACGCCAAACGGATGGCCGTTGCGTTGGTTTTGTCCACTGATTTCAAATAATAGTCAGCAATTTTTTGGGCATTCATACCGTGAAATTGTTGATCAGATTTGTTGACATAATCAACAAACTTTGCGATAGTCATGTTGTCCATCGATACCAATAATATACTATCGGCTAGTGATCCCTCATCGTGGACAATGCCAGCAATTAAATCAATATCTGCAGTAAATGTTATTTAAGAATAGATAATTAAAATGATTAACAAATACCTGTATTGACTGCATGTGTTTGAAATGCTTTTTGTGTGGAAACCGGTAGAAAATCGGTGCCAATCAGTGGAAATGTTACAGTTTTCTCTAACTGGACTAACTGTTTGGGTTCAACGGTACGTAAACATTGTAACCAATGAGTTTCGGTACAATTCAACGATCGGGCCATTTGTTTGGCATTGTTGAGTGCGTCAGTTTTATTGATGGGATATCTGTCCTTATAAAACATGACAGAACCGCTTTGCATAATAGCTCTATGGAATAGTCCTCTAGATAGCGGTGACAGTATGTGTGCCGATACTGACCAACTACCAGCCGATTCACCAAATATGGTAACCTGATTGGGGTCACCACCAAATGCCTCAATGTTATCTCTTACCTAATAAATAAAATATAATATATTGAATATATTATTGCACTTTAATTTTTTTGGCTTTAGCTATAATTTATTTTAAATAAAGTATCAAAATTTTACTTCAATAATATCAATTCAAGTGTTTTAATTACCCATTTGAGTGCTAATAACTGGTCGTAAAATCCCACATTCCCGGGTGCAGACTCATCAGCACCGTATAGAAAACCAAAAGGTCCCAACCGATAGTTAGTGGTCACAACCACTACATCATTAGTGGCCAAAATTGAACCGTTATAAAAGCTCAGTAAAAATATTGAACCCGTTTGAAGGCCGCCGCCGTGTATGAAAAACATGACCGCTTTCGGTATATTCGGCATTGAATGGTTGACCCGATTGGGTGACCATATGTTGACATACAGACAGTCCTCACTGAGCTTCAAGTTTGCCAACGGTTGCCAACACGAACTCTTGGATTTTGTTGCATCTATGATGTCCTAAATAAATATTATTTTTTATACATTTATATATTGTAATCAATTTTGTTTCATATCATACCGGAGCCGATAATTGTATTGCTTTAGGTTTTGCAAAACGAAGCGAACCGATCGGTGGTTCGGCAAATGGTATTCCAAGAAATTGGTTTATTTGTCTATTGAGTACATGTATGGTCTGTCCGCGCACTACACCCGATGTAGTATTTATCTCAATACTATTGATTACATTCAAAATAATTAATAAAATAAAACTTAAATATATTATATTAATCATAATTTAATTTATTAAATAGTACACTATATATATTATTTTATTAAATAAATATATTACTAAATTATATAAGATATGAATAGCAATTAATTTTATTATTATTAGTAAAAAATACTTTTATATGTTAACGATTAGGTTTGCCTAACTGTTTTATATACTAGTAGTCACAAAATTAATCTATTTTTAATTAATCATTTTTTTTCTTATATATTAATAATTTAATATCAAATTCTATTATCACTCAACAAAATATTAAGTATTAATATATTTTATTGTTTACATTAATTTAGTGCAAATAAGTAATATTAGTGCAAAATAGTTATCTAAATAAATCAATTATTATATTTTATTGTTAATATTTTTATGTTTTTAAAAAATATAAAATTATTTTCTATTAATTATTACTCAATTTTCATGTACAATGTTTCTAAAAATACATTTAACTCAATAATATGTTTTACTTTTATTAAAATACTTTTTAAACAAATATTTCATACAACTATTATATAATTTAGTTGTATAACTAATACAAAATTTAAAGTTTGGTTTTCTAAATAATAATCTTATACTATAATAATAACATTATTTTTATGTTTAATTACATTTTCTGTTAATATCTATATTTCTAACTATAATAAAATAAATTATATAAAATTTTACAATCAATAATAAGTGTATAAAAGCAAATAATAATAAAATACTTGTATTTATAATAATACTTTTATTAATATAATTATACTTAATTAAGTAAGTTTATCTATAATATATCAATTGTTGTTTATATTTTAGAGTATTAAATGTTATTTATTGTATTTATTTGCAATTTTTCATATATTTTAAATAAATATAGATTATTTATAAATGTATTTTAATAATCAGGTTTATAATAAATATAAACCTGATTATTACAAATCACATTAATAAACAAAAATGTTGTAAAATACTAAATTAAACAAATATATTCATTCATTATTATAGTTAATTTAATTTTAAAAAGATATTATACATTAAATTTAATAGTTAGATAAATGGTATTACTAAAATTTAGTTTATTTGATTAGTGAACACATATAATATATATATTTTTTGCTAAATTATAAAGGATTGTTAATAAATTGTTTTGCATTATCATAAAAAATACAAATGTAATTTTTTATGAGTTTGATGTAATGTTAGTATTTTTGTATAATAAGTATAATAATTTTTATTTATTACACTCATAAAAAATATATATAATTTAGTAAAATTTAATCTAAATAATATATGACTATAATTTTGCTATTTTTAATTTGAACAAATAACTATCTAATGCTCTATTATATAATTATTGGAAAAATAAAATCGACATTTGAAGGCTACAATTTGCAAAATAATATTTATTTATAATCAAATTGACTATTATACTTATTTTACTAAATTTGCGATATTTTATTGTATAAATAAATAATACTGTTTATTCATTATAAATGTTTGCAAATATAAAAATTATTATATTTAATATATTCAAGTTTGAAAAATTATTGTATTATTGTATTATAACTAGTATTTATTATATTGTAGAAATTAGGTGATATAAACATAAATAAATAAATATTTATTTAATTTTTTTAAAACTTAAATAGAAATAAAATTTATAATCACAACCAATAACAAATAAATAATTTATTAATAATATTAACAATTATTATAATTAAGTAGCAAATAATATCAATAAAAATATATAAAAATTATTTTTTTTCTTAACTCTATAATATAAAGTAATATAAATTGTGTAAATTTTCTGCCAAAAATTTTAGTAAAGTTGGCAAATAATTTAATTTTTTTATTAACTATTTTGCTAAAAACTAATTTTATAAAACTAATTAAAATAAAGTTATAATAATTTCAAATGAATAATAATTTTAATTTATCTCTTTTGATTGTAGCATCTAATCAAGTAATTTTTATTAATTGAATAATTAATAATTATTTAATACTTATTTAATTAGTTTTATTTAATTAGTTATTGCCATTTACTCGATTTGTAAATCAATACAAATTAAATGGATTTGATGGCAAGCTATTGGAAACAATAAGTAGCAAGCTAAATTTTACATACAAATTAATTGATTGCAATAATGATTGGGGTGCAATGGGATCTGATAATACATGGAATGGTATCATTGGTAAAGTTATTTCAGGGGTACTCTAAAATTTTTAAAAATATATTATATTTTAATTATCATTTTATTTTAAAATTTTTTATTATTTAATATTAATTTTATTTTATTACAATTAATTAGCAAGCACATATTGGTTTTGGCGCTTTAAGTGTAACCGATGATCGCCAAAAATTTGTTAAGTTTACATTTCCCTATTATATATCTTCTATAATATTTGCAGTACCAGTGTTAAACAAACAAAACACAACATTTATATTTTATCAACCATTTGATAGCTATATATATGGCTTTTGCTATTAATAGCAATTAGTATATTATATTTATTTAATGTGATAACTAATAAATTACATATGACAAACTATAATTACAATTATCTAGCAATTATATTAAATCAATCAATTAACTTAACATATATTAATTGGGAATTTAAGTTACTATTAATATCGTTTTTCATATTATGTATAATATTAAAAATCATATATTCGACAATCATATTATCAATAATGACATTACCGTTATATACCCGTCCAATGGAAACAATAATTGAACTTGTTGATGCTTTATTAAATAAAAAATTTATATTGTTATTTGATCTAGGAACAAAAACTATAAAGCAATTTTTAGATAAAGTATACAACAATTTTTTTCAATTAATAAAATTATTATATTTTAACAATTGATACATTCTATATAATAAACTAGTATGGACAAAATTTAACCTACCAAATAAACTATGTTTTTAATGCAAGTTTGGCGTTTAATAAAATGCAAAATAGCCATGGTCAATATGTCTATATGACAATTCGAGATACTATTGAATTTTATATACATAGCACTGATATTAACTATATATTACCGCCCGATCATAAAGACTCAAAATTTTCAAATGATTTGATAAGTATTGCAATAAACAATAATTACAATTATTTGGTGAAATTTTTTAATAAAATGTAAGTTTTATAATTTTATTAATTATTAGCATAAATCATAAAAGTTATATTATAATTAAATATAATTTTGATATCATATTTAACTATATATATTAATATAGTATTTGTAAATTTTAGTTGCTCATAAAAATAATGTTAAAATTACAATTGAATAATTTTAATAATTTTATTTATCTTTAATTTTTAAATATTTATAAAATAGATTATCACAAATAACTTGTAGCGGATTATATGATTATTGGAAAACTGATTTCTATACAAAACAAATAAATATGAAAAATAGATTCAATTATAATCGTAATATTGATTTAATTGAAAACTCTAAACTAATGTCATTGAATATGTCTCAACTGGAATATACTTATTATATATTTCTATTAGGTTTATGTATATCTGTTGTTATATTATGTTTTGAATTTATGTCACTTTATTAATTAAAAAATAATAAAATATAACATTTTAGTATAATTTTTATATTTATTAGAGATTTTATACTCTCGATATTTCTTATTTTTTTTAACTATCAATTATAATTGCAAATAAAAAATAAATATTATAATTTATAAATTAATTCAAAAATTACATATTTAATTACATTAAACTAAAAATATTATAGTATGGTACAAAAACAATTGTATTTTACAGTTAAATTTTACATTGATCATAGTATTATTATAAATAAACTTTTTATTTGATTTTAATTTATTAAAGTGAAATTTATTTGTATTATACTGTAAATAAAAAAATATTTTATTATATAAAAAGTACATTATTTCTATATTATTTAGTCTTATCAAAATCAATAAAAAAAATCACTTAAGATTTAATGTTAAACATACAATTTTATATTAAAAAATTATATTTAAATAACCAATAATATTCATAAAAAACATTTATATGAACCTTTTGACAAATTATTTACAGTATTTATTTTGTGTTTTATAACTAAAAAATTATTTATCTATAAATTATATAATATAATACTAACAAAATTGATTGTTGTTTTCAAAAAAATATTACTTACAATATAAGTTTTGTTTGAAAAATATTTTTATAAGTTATTAAATATTGAAAATTTTTAGTAAATGAATAATTTAAATTTAACGCATTTAATTATAGCAACAAATCAGGTAATTAAATTAATAAGCATATATATTATTTTAAATTAAAATACTATTTAAAATATTATTAGAATCTCCCATTTATACAATATGAAAATCAATATACATTAAATGGTTTTGATGGCAAACTATTGCAAACATTATGTAGCAAGCTAAATTTTACATACAAATTAATTGATTGCAATAATCAATATGATTCAATAGTAACTAATAATACATGGAATGGCATTTTGGGTAAAGTTATTTCACAGGTAATTATATTTTATTATTAAAAAATATTTGCATTTATTAGCAAAAAAATGCTTATAATTATTATTTTAAAAATTTGATTGGATAAATTAACAATAAATATTTTTATTTTTTAAAATTATTATTAGCAAGCTCACAGTGGAATTGGTGAACTAAGTGTAACAAATGATCGTCAAAAATATGTTAGTTTTACATATCCTTATTATGTGTCTAGCTATACATTTATAGCACCGGTATTTAATTTAAGTAAAACGGTTTCTATGTTTTATCAACCATTTGATTGTTATATATGGTTAACAATATTATTATCTATTATAATAATTAATTTAATAAATATGATTATTAATAGACAACATATGACAAATTATAACTAAAATCTTTTAGCTATAATATTAAGTCAATCAATTAATGTTAATTTTATACATTGGCCATTAATACCATTATTGATAACATGGATCATATCATGTATAGTATTAAGAACTCAATATTCGACTATAATGTCGGCCATAATGACTGTCCCATTAGCTACCAGTCCTATGGAGACAATCAGTGATTTATTTAATGCATTGAAAAATAAACAAATTATATTATTATTTAAACAAAAAACAACATTACTGCAACGCGCTATTGCAACTATGGTAAATTACTATAGATATACTGTATATGTATATATATATATATATATAAAACATTTTATTGTTGAAAAAGATATTATTTTGTTATAATACTTTAAAAAATTAACTCTTAAAACAATATCTATGATATTATCAATTTTTTCTTTAATTATAGTTAGATGCAAATCTAAATGATAAACATTACTTTCAATATGTTTATAATAGAAGTATAGCTTTAAAAATATTGAAAAACTACCATGGTCATTATACAATTGTTGGAAATTTCGATAGACTAAACTATGATATACTTATTAATGGTCTAAACTATATATTACCCCCCAACCATAAAGACTCGACATTTTTCAATGATTTGTTTGGTATCGCTTTAAACAATAATTTTAAACAATATGTTCATATTTTTAATAAAGTGTAAGTTTTATAAAATAAATTATATACTAAAATGCAATTTTTGATATTATTTTCTTTTTTTTGTTGATATTTTTAGATTATATCTATTTTGTAGTTATTTTTTAAAAAAAAATGAAAGTGTCTATAGTTTTGTTTTTTTTTTCAATAGATTATCCCAAATAAATTGTGGTGGATTATATGATTACTGGAAAAATGATTTCTATATTAAACACAAAAAAATGACAAATATTTATTATTCTTACATTAAATCTATTAATGAAGAAAATAATTTTCAATCATTAAATTTGCGTCAATTAGAGTATTCATATTATTTATGTTTATTTGGTTTATGTATTGCAATAGTTATATATTTAATTGAATATATGTACAGTAGATTTGGGATTCGCTTATTTAACAAAACTATCCAAACCGCACAGCAATCAACACATATGAAACAGATTGAAACTAAAAGTATACAAAAAATTAGATCAAATCCGACCCAAATCCAGAATAAACTAATAAAATCTGAATCGACTAAAAAAAATGAAAACAAATTTATTATTATTAAACTTATTAATCAAACCAAAGTTGTACAACAAATTAAACCTCAATCGCTACCCAAACCGAAACTTAATCAAACCATTATAACAAACAATGACTAACTAACAAAATAAAATATTACTATAAAATTATTAAAAGTTAACTTTATAATAATTGATTACATAAAGTATAGTATTTTTATAGTATTTAAATTGTTTATATTATTATAACACATAAATTGAAACAGTTTAATTAATTATTTTTCTATATTATTTTATTTAGTTAAATTTCAATTTGTTTGTATTACTGTACATTACTTTATAATATATTTTATAAACATTTTTATAGCAAAATCAAGACAACAAACAATATTTTAAAAGTTTTATTTAGTCTTAGGTAAAAATACAGAAATCAATAAAATAAAATATTTAATATGTTATAACTAAATTGATGGCTAATTTCACGAATGAGATTCTAAGTTAATTAAATGTATTTATTATTATTTAAAATATATAAAATCAATAAATTTTGTTTTTGCATAATTAAATATATTTATAAGAAAGTAATAATTATATCTATTTAATTATATTTTATTGATTTATATTTTTTACGTCTTTTTAAAATTAATGTAAATAATTATATATTCAATATATAATTATTATTTTTTATATATAATAATTTCTTTATAATATATAATAATTTCGTTATAATATATAATAATTTCTTTATAATATATAATAATTTTTTATAATATATAATAATTTCTTTATAATATATAATAATTTCTTTAAAATATATAATTCTATTAATAAAAATAAAAAATAAATATCAATAATAAACAATTGTGTTTAACATAAACAACTTATAAGTAAAAAATATCATAAAAATCTACCTTAATAATATTATTTATTTTTATTGTTTATGTTAATATTTGAATAATGTAAATTATTTTATTATATCAAATATGTGTTGCTTATTAGCAGTTTATAATTTTTAAATAATTTATACACTTATAAAACAAATATATATATATATATAAATGAATATTTTAAATTTGACTAATTTAATAATTGCAACTAATCAAGTAATTTTATTAGTAATAAAATATAAATATTAAAACTATTGTTTATTTATAGTATCCTCCATTTAGTCAATTAGACAATGAATATACATTGAGTGGTTTTGATGGCAAACTATTGGAAACACTAAGTAGCAAGCTAAATTTTACATACAAACTAATTGACTGCAAATATCAATGGGGTTTTTTGGGACCCAATAATACATGGAATGGTATAATTGGAAAAATTATTTCACAGGTAATAATAATAATAAAATGTTTGCATTTAGTATCTAAATTTATTACTTATTAAAATTAATTTATTAATAATATTATTAATATATAGGAAGCCCACATTGGTTTGGGTGAACTGAGTATTAACTATGATCGTAATAATTATGTTAGTTTTACACATCCCTACTATGTTTCCGTATATACATTTGCAGCACCGGTATTTAATATAAGTAAAACAGTTTCTATGTTTTATCAACCTTTCGATAACTATATATGGTTTACAATATTAATATTTAGTATTATAATTTATTTAATTAATATGCTTATTAATAGACTACATATGACAAACTATAACTATAATTTCATAGCAATAGTATTAAGTCAATCAATTAGTATAACTTATATACATTGGGAATTAATGCCACTATTGATAACATGGATCATATCATGTATAGTATTGAGATTACAATATTCAACAATAATGTCGGCCATAATGACTGTCCCATTAGTGACCTGTCCTATGGAAACAGTGAATGACTTAATGAATGCATTGACAAATGGTTACATTAAATTGTTGTTTAAATCAGGGTCATCATTATTGAGACAGTTTATTGAAACCACAGTAAGATTCATAAATATGTTACTGTATTAATAATACTAACTATTAATAATTAATTATTTCATGCAATTAATAAATTTTAGTCAGCTTTTGACCAAAATGATAAACATAATCAAATACACTATATTTACAATAAAAGCATAGCATTTACTATGATGAAAAATGACCATGGTCAATATAGTTTAATTGAAAATTCTGATATTCTTGACTATGAAATACGTAAAACTGGTATAAACTATATATTACCTCCAATTCATAAGGACTCGACTTTCTTTCATGATTTTTTAGGCATCGCTTTAAACAATAATATAAAACAATATCTTCATGTGTTTAATAAATTGTAAGTTTAATATATATATAAAAAAAAACTAAATATAAAATAAAACTATTATTAAGTATTATAATTACAATATACTAAATGAAATAATTAATTAAATAGATTAAAATTTTTATTTTTTTAAATATTATAGAATATTAAAAATAAATGGTGCTGGATTATATGATTATTGGAAAAATGAATTTTACACTAAACAAACAAACTTAAAAAACAATTATAATTTTATAACTAAATCAATTGAAGAAAATAATTTTCAATCATTAAATTTGCTTCAATTAGAGTATTTATGTTTATTTGGTTTATGTATTTCAATAGTTATATATATTGTTGAATATAGTTATAGTAAGCTTCGAAAATGTTTATCAAATTCAATGAATCAAAGCGTAAGCAAATCATAAAATATATAGATATTACTGAAATTAAAATCGTAAAAATTAAATCAAATATTATCCAAACAAACATTATATATGAAATAATAAATTCAAAAATAACTTAAATTAATATTATATTTTCTTAATATAAACCAATACAAAATAAAAACAGTACATCATAATAATTATTATAATGTTTTTATATAAAAATTGATAATTTAAAATAATAACTATACATTTATTTAGTAATAATAATAATATTCAGCTCACTATAATTATGCTGTATATGTGTTATACTGTACATAAAGATTAAGCAAAGTTTTGTATTATAGATGAGGTAAAATACAAAATTATTGATAATTAATAAAAAATGAGTACAGTATTTTAAACAACAAGTTTTTAAGAAAATTACAATTTAACTAAAAGTCAAAAGAAAATTCTATTAAAATTCCCGAAAAGTATTAATACCAATAAAATAAATAAATATTGTAATAATTAAAAATAAATTTGAAAAAATAATATTTGAAACATTGACTTTTACATTTATATTTATGGAATTTAATAAATTATTTTTTTACTATAAATAAAAAATAATATACAAAGTAATATATTGAATATATTATTTTTATAATTATTTTTAATTGATATTTATTTTTTGATATGTAGTATATGATTTGATATGTATATAGTGAACTATTATTAGTGTTATGCATTATTATATAAATTATTTAAATATTTATTTAAAAAAAACTACTATTACAATTAAATGAATAATTGTTTTTTAATTAAATTATTATCTATATTTTTTCTAATCATCAAAATTAAAAGTATATTTATTTTATTAATTATTAAGCTACTTAATAATCAGAAAATGAATTATTTATATTGTATTTCTATTAATATATATTATAATTGTTATAAAGTTTATTAATTAAAAAAAAATTATATAATTAATATTATAAAAATAGATGTTAAATCGCCAATTCATTTATCGTATACTTACAATATTGTAATTTATAAATAGAGAAATAATCAATTAAATAATTTAGTTATAAAGTTTTAATAAATAAAATAATAAGTTTTTAATCTACACTAAATAATATTATTATACATATTATAATACAATAATAAAGTTCAGTAAGACCTTTGTGTACCTAAGTAACCTTGATAAATAAATAAATATTATTAATGCTTATCATACATATACTGTAGATTGCAATCACATTTCAAATACATTAAAAGTTTCAATTACAAAATATATTGCAATAATATTATCTTTGTAATAACTATATAAGCAGACTGTTTGAAAATTAGTTTGAATAAAAAATATTTAATTAATAAATTTCAAAAATTATAAATAATTAAAACAACAACAATGTCTATATTGATGACATCAATAATTACCGATTATTTAAGTCCAATTCAATGGATAGTTCTAACATTAATTACAATTGTTTCAGTGCTAACATACTATCATTTGTAAGTAAATAAAAAGTTATTTATTGGTATTTTAATAAAAAAGATAATATCATTACTACTAAATAGCAAATGGAAACGTCTATTAAGCTATTGGAGTGCACGCAATATTGACGGTCCAAAACCGTTATCCATTTTTGGCAATCTATTGGACAAATATTCAACAGCCAAACCCTTACTAGAGTTACAATGGTATCGACAGTTTGGTCGTCTTTACGGGTATGTAGAGTCTCTCTCACTCATTCACTCACCCACTTTCTCATTGATCAATCTAACCTCACTCCTCAAAATATACAGCACATACACGGGTCCACTGCACGATCTAACCATCGCTGACCCGGAGCTCATCAAACAAATACTGGTCAAAGATTTTCATCGCTTTCGCAATCGACGTGATGTGAGAATATCGGAGCAATCGTCTCGGGAACCGATGATGAATCACATGTTCTCTGCACGTGACGACACGTGGAAACGTTTGCGTGCAATAGCGTCGCCAACATTTACATCGGGACGACTCAGAAAACTGTTTGGACTGATAGGCGAGTGTTGCGATGATTTTGTCGACCATTTGGATGGGTTGGCCGAACGCCGGGAGCCGATTGATGCTAAAAAAGTTATGGGCCACTTGACTATGGATGTAATAGGCCGGTGCGCATTTGCTACCAAACCCAATACGTATACTGATCCCGACGACCAGTTTACACGATCGGCAAACAGTTTATTCTATATACCGTTGTGGCGAATAGTACTGTTGATTGTATTGCCCGCAAAGCTCATGAGTCAACCGTTTTTCTGGCGACGACTACTTAGGTTGGGTGGTGTCGACTTTTTTATCAACCTATCCCGCAAACTCATGGCACACCGGCGCCAAACAAATACCAAATACAATGACTTTTTACAGCTTCTAATGGATGCCGAACACAATAATAATGACAGTGTCGAGCACAGGGAGGCCAGCGATGCGAACGAAGCACATCACGTCAATGAAGGCGACGACGAACTGCGGGCAAATAGAGAAGCCCTGAGCAACGTTTCGGCCAAACGGTTGACTGAGGACGAGATACTCGGCCAGTGTTTCCTGTTTTTTATTGCCGGCTACGAAACAAGTGCGACAACACTGTCCTACTGTATGTATGAGTTGGCATTGAATCCCGAATTTCAGGAACGTCTATTTGAAGAGATTAACTGTGCGGTTGGTAAAAACGGGAAAATTGACTACGAATTACTGTCTAGTCTACCGTTTCTCGATTCCCTGATATCCGAAACACTGCGAAAATATCCACCTGCGCTGCGACTGGAACGGGAGGCCCAGGAGAACATAGATCTGGGAGATACCGGTATACAACTGGAAAAGGGTGCCCTATGCGAGATTCCTATCTATGCTATACATCACGATCCAGAGTATTATCCCGAACCCGACCGATTCAATCCCGATAGGTTTATGCCAGAAAATCGTCATCTACTCCGGCCATACACATACCTGCCATTTGGTGTCGGTCCCCGTAATTGTATTGGTATGCGATTTGCACTGTTGGAGGGAAAACTGGCGTTGGCTAAACTATCGCAACGGTTTCGGTTTAAACGAGTCCCGGAAACTGATGTACCCGTTGTCTTCAATATAGGAGAGGACGGAATCCGGGCCCGACGTCTAGTGATTGGCATTGAGAGACGGGACTCTAATATTTAATTAATTAATAGTTTATTTTACTTATATTATTATAACGTATTTACTAATTAAAAATACTAATATTAATGCTTATGAGTAGTTGGTACCTAAGGGTTCACATGAGGGAAAGCACAGTGCTTTCCCCCATATAGCTGTGTCACGGAGAGGGGGTTCACGTGATCACGTGACTCCACCTAACCTAACCTAAGTGAAGTACACCAATGACGTCACTACTACCTCTACCCAATCTGACCACCTACCCGAACTGACCACCTACCCGATCTGACCACCTACCCGAACCGACAACCTACCCGAACTGACCATCTTACCCGAACTGACCATCTTACCCGAACTGACCAACTACCCATAGTAACCACCTACCCGAACTGACCACCTACCCGAACTGACCACATACCCAAACTGACCACATACGCGAACTGAGCAACTACCCGAACTGACCAACTACCCGAACTGACCAACTACCCGAACTGACCAACTACCCGAACTGACCAACTACCCGAACTGACCAACTACCCGAACTGACCAACTAACCGAACTGACCAACTACCCGAACCTAACCCAACCTAACCTAACAGACCACCTACCTAAACTGACCAACTTACCGAACTGGTCAACCTTCCGATGTATTAGCGGAGAGGGGATAGCGGAAATCATGTGACCTAACATGAGTGTAGATGTAAACAAAATAAATATAAATACATTTATTTTTAAAATAATATTTATAATTTATTTACATTTTATTTATTTACAAAAGCGTTCATTAAATATTTTCTCTCTAAAATTTTTATCTAATACATATGATATATTTTCTTCAATTAGTTTACACTTATATTCATGAATACGTCTGTTAAAAACTATCCAATGCCAGTTAGATATACGAGCCTGTCTTGAAGCATATGACCAAACATACATAGTCTTTATCTGTATTTTGTCATCAAATCTAACTTTCTTCATATTTATTTGTTTATTAAGTAATCAAAGTATTTAAACATAAACTCTTCATATAATTCATTCAATGCTTTTCTAGTATAAACACCAGTCAATATCATTTTCCCTTTTCTAGTGAGAGTTATATGTCTTTTATTACCACAATTGATCCTCAAATGTGGAAATATTTCCAACTCATAATTACTGCTCCAATTAAATTGATTCATCAGTTTCTCTACATTCAAGTCGTTTTTCAGGTTATGTGACGCAGCAATGTTAGTCACACGTAAGTTATGTAATTTGATATCATATCCGAGTTTTTGTATTATGCGAGCAGTCTTTCGTAATGCTATTCGACCATCATTTTTTGATTTTGCACCCACACATACTAGTTTACCAGAGTCGTATATCATAACCGTGGCATTAGGGTTACGATACCGTTTAATTACTCTCACAAATGGGTAATTGTGATATACACAATTACAACAGTTGTTACACAATTTTCTTAAATCAATAAAACCAATCATATCAAAGAGATCAGCAGTCATCGAAACATTAGTTATCACAGGCATATTGATAATGCAAATTGTATTACTATAATAAATGTTGATGTAGTTATAAACTCATAAACTATTGCATCAACTATTACAAAAACAGTTGAAACAAGTTGTTTAACAACTATTGCTTCAATTATTGCAACATCTGTTGCAATAAGTAGTTTAACTACTATTGCAACAACAAATAGTGTATTACACTATCGTAAATCCTGTTTACTCTATAAAATATTAACTTATAAAAGCAAAGTGTATACACTATTATTGTATTAGTGTTTATTAGTTTTGTTATAACTGATTATTATTGTAAATTAAATTTTTCATCATCAAAATGGTTGGCAAAACATTGTTTCAAAAATCCATTTTCACCAAATCTGATGGTGAAAACAAATTTGACAAATTTGTTCGTGTATTGGAACACGAAAACGGTGAAAAATTTGTGGACATCCGACTGACTGTTTGCAATGATGGAGAAGATGTCTTCTACACCAAACATGGCGTTTATTTATATGGTAATGAATTCAAAGAATTGTTGAAAAAGATGGAAACCCAAGACTTTGGTTCTTTTGGAGATCTTCGAGTTATCTCATTCATGCATTTGAAAAAACAATTGTATTGTTTTAGTATCATTAGTAATGGTAACATTAAAAAATTAAATGTCATATTCCCTGAAATTGACATTATATTGTCATTGAAAGATGAAATCATTAAATATCTTAATTAAAGTAATTATTGTATATTATAAAACTAATATTGTAATAAATAAACAAAACAAATTAATTGAATAAAATAAATTTTATTAATAAATAAAAAATGTATAATTATTTACATTTTAATATGAAAACAAATAGTAATTTTTAATCCATTTCCACAATAGCTCACACTTGTGTTGAGCGCATCTCATATCAGATTTATCTGGTATGATACGTTCATGAAAATGACATGAACGGCCTCCATACATTCTCTTTAATGTTTTAAGACTAGGACATCTATACTGATTCAATTCAACGTAAGGTATAGCGCACATGTCCAATATATCCGCCAATTGAGAGCACTTAATTCCAATGTATGGCTTTTCTTTGCTTTTGATTTTCTCATACATCTCAATAATAATCTGTTTGGCATCCATTGTTGAGTTTTGTGTTATCTCAATGTTTACTGTACGTAACGATAGTCCCAATAAGTTGTTGGCCAAATAAAGGTTAGTAATCCGATCTTTCAATTCCATGTCTCTATAAGTTAGGTTTGTCTCACACAACTCAGACATTTTACAAGTGTGAGATATTATTGCAATTTCACGAGGTACAAAGATATTGTTATAAACAAAACCTTGTGCGTCCATTACACCACAGATTTGATTAATTTTGCTCATTTTAGAGATTAAGTTTGTTTACTATAAAAAGTAAGTCGTGTTCGTTGTTTAGAGGAAACCCTTCTTCTATAAAATAGCGCTCAATGCGATGTCTATATGTTGACGCAATATTTGCTAACGTACCATTAATTACGTTTACATCAGTCATAACAATAGGAAACTTTTCATTATAAATATCTTTTATTTTAATATATATTCTATAATAATCACTAAAATTTTTATACACATCTGATAAATGACATTTACCAGTTACATAATAATTTGGCAACACAATCATTAATGTGAGGATTAAAACCAAACACAGTTTGGATTTGTTCAAATGATCCGCCATTAAAATAATTAGTTAAAAAATAAATACAATATAATCCACAAGTATTAGAATATACACTTTGAAAATTAATACAGTTGTAATACCAACCGTTTACAGTATTGTCTTTTATAAAATTTAAGATATCATTATGTAGTGGTTGTAAACCAAATGAATCAAAATATATAATGATATCATTATTTGTTTTGTATACACTAACCCAGTGTTCCCCAGGAGAACTAGCTTTATCTGTATTAATAATAACACCACTATCTTTTGGTATAATATTTGGTAACATATCTCTCGGATATGTACCATAATATTTATTACAATTTTTAAAATAGTTATTTATTTGTAATGTATTCATATTTATTGAAAATTTTTATTAGCAAATCTTGAGCTCTCTATTTCTACACAACTATCATATTCGCAGAATATGATTGCAGTTACAGTCTCTTGTATAGGGTAGGCAAACTTTAGTTCAACTCGTAAGTTACCTCTAACCACAGTTGATACATAACCACTTTTTGCTACTCCATCAGATAAATCCGGTGTAAAATTGAATCCAAATAGTGTATAACCTTCAGCATACTCTTCCCGTGTTATGTCAATATCTGTTGAATGTTTGATTTGATTTGCTGTTTCAAATAATCCAAAGTATTCACGCATATATTTTTTATTTGTAAAGTCTGGTGTGTATGGTCTGTGTGGATATTGAGTCCCATCAACATAGCAAGCAATGTGTCGGATATTGTAATTTTTAAAATAAAATGGGTTCATATTATATGAACCATTATATGCTTCGTTACTAACAAAACCAATATATATTTTTCTAGGAATCACTCCATTGATGACATTATTTAAATAACAATCTAATGTGTCTTTAGCTATAATTGATGTCTTTACTTCCTTTCGTGTAATAAAATAGCGGGCATTAGCACTTTCAAGTGCTCTATTGTGTGCCACAACTACTTGTGGGTTAACAATAGATTTATGCATAAACAATCTTACGTCCATTATTTCAACTGTTGGTATCAATGTTTTATCATAAATTAAATAAAACTTGGGATCTTGTGGGTAAATTTTAATATTCAGTGTGACCCCTCCAAGTAAAGACTTTACTTGCGATGCTAAATCAATGTGCAAATTGCCATACATTTCGACTTCACACCCGTCAGATAATGAGTTACCTGACGGTCGTATACGACTACTTCTTATCTCATTTACCGAATCCATAGGTGTCTCATCTTTATGCCAAAATGCAGTCTCTAAATGTGTATTTCTAGCATCACTATTACTGTTAAGAAGAGTGTCAATATATGACACATATGAATAATTCACTGATGATGTTGTAACAGTTGTTTGACCAATATTTACATCAATTTGTTTAATAAATGAATGCATTAAATAATTGATTGGAGATATTAGTTTCCAGTCTTCTGCTTTAACTTCAGGTGTTGTTGATACAGTAGACTTTTGTAATTTAAATTTTAAACATAAATAAAGTTCACTTTTGCTTAAGTTAATATATTCATTTAAGCCTGTATGTATTTCAAATTCAATAGTATTTGTTGAATTAGATAATGTACTTATTGGACGGTGTTCAGTTTGAACATCACGTTCAATCATTAGTTGTGTTGGTGGTACTCCAAACACATCCATTTCTGGAAGTGTCATTAGAGATGATAATTCGTGTATTGTAGACATTTTTAGTATTTTCTTTGTTTTTCTTAACTGTTTTACGTCTTTTATAAGATTTTAGTTTAGTTTTAACTTTACGTTTACGTCCTAAACCTTTTTGTTGTCTAACATTAGAAACTTTATTTTTAACATCTGTTAAAATAGTATCAGCTGATCTTATCAACTGATTTGTGCCGGCTTCTTTGAATGATTTACCAGATAGTATATCATTACCAATACCGTTAAATGCATCCCATCCTTTATTTGCTACATATTTTAATGCAGGTTTAATGTGTTTAAATATTTTACCAAATATACCATTACCGGACTGGTATCTATGCCCAGCATAAGATACAATACCGTTACCGGCTTGGATTTTATAGTAATCAATATATGGATTATTCATACTTTAATAAAATGCAATGTTATAGTTACTCTACCAAATTTAAATGGTATAGATAAACCACTATCATCTTTTATAGATATTTCAAGTGTTTCAAATTCATTGAGTCTTACAGGTCTATATTGAGGTCTTTCATAATTTAAATGTACTGTATCTCCAAATTTATATTTACGCGGTATTTCAACTACTCTCAGTAGAGGTGCAAATGTATCACCAACTAGTGATGGGTATACAATATCACTATATAAATATAGTGAATGAAAACCACCACTAATCTCTACGGGATGAAAGCCTTTAATAGTATTTTTATTTTCAATTCCATTGAATACTATATTAACTAAGCTATTGCTACCATAATAATAATTATGTGTAGCTTTTCTATCTTTTAATCCTAAAATGTTTTCAATTTCGTCACCCAAGTCAGGAAATATTTTAACTACACTTTCAACTATACCAACATTAATTGTAATAAAATTATTAATCTCATTATAAACTAATTTTGGTGGTTTAATATCAGTAAATAAAGTCAAAATATTGTTAATTTCATTAACTAATTTCTGTGGTGTTTCATAATAACCAGCTTTAAGTGTAAACTTATCATCATATTGATTAGACTTATCACCATATATACGGCCCATTTCATCAAATAATGTAATTTTATGATCATTTAATATATTATACCATGATTTGGTATAAGTTATTTCAGATATACCAACACACCAACTATCATCAAGTTTAACTGTTTTGCCTAATTTTGTTCTAAAATCAGACATTGTATTGTCAAATGTTTTGACATTATTAACTAAAGTAATATATTTACTCATTATTCACAAAGTTTTATTTGTGTATTGTTATCAAAATAACAATTCCAAATAATTTTTTCTTTATCTCTTAAAAATAATAATACAACAACAAATATAATAAATAAAATAAAACACAATATGTTAATTAGTAAACAATTCATTTTTATTTTTAAAATACAGTATCAGAGCCTTTTATAACATTTTTACATAGTTTAAGTTTAGGGTTAGGCATTATATAACCAATACAACTAGTTAAAATAATTGCCCATAAATTTTTGTTGCCAATTTCAAAAGTTAAGTTAATTAAGCTTACAAATATTACAATTGTCATTAATGACATTTGAATAGTAAACAAAATTAATTCAGTTTTACACAATTTATTTAGTATAGACATCTTGAATGCTATCAATCCAACTGTTGTATTCTTCCGGATAGTTCAACCACTTAACAAAATACTGTCTACGACCACGTCTAACACGACTTCTAATAACTCTTTCAATACGGTATAGATTTTCTTTGATCTTTTGGATCTCTTGTGGATAAAATCGCTGTTCAATAATATTTCCTTGTCCATCACTTAGTCTAAACACATATTGATTATCACCTTTTATAGTCTTTACTACAGTAAAGACTTGATCAGTCCAGTTAGGGTAATAACCTTTATCAAATTTAGACATTTCGTACACTTTACGTACTTTATCTCCTGTAGCGACATCTGGTGTTTTAAACTTTTTAGATTTAACATATAAGTTATTGTATACTTGTTTTGTATTTTCTGTAGTCACCTCAATAGGTGACATACCTATAGATCTGTGATATGATGTATTGTATGCTTTAACAAGTTTTTGTAGTACATCTACATATCTTCGCGAACCATTAGCAGTAAAGTATTTAAACATACGTGACTTTAATGTACGATTAAAGCGTTCAACTATAGCACATTTTATTTTATAATCATTTGAGTGAAAGTAGTTGACTCTATTTAATTTTAGATATTTTTGAAATATTTCATTTAAAAACTCTTTACCTTTATCTGTACGTAAAGATAATGGTTTTCTGTTTTTAAATAATGTTTTAAAAGCATTTGTAATGCTTTTACCAGTTTTTACTTTCAATGGAACAGTAAATGCAAATTTAGAAAAGCAGTCAATTACTGTTAAAATATAATTATATTTATCATTTTTATTAGCAAATTCTCTCATATCAGCTAAATCTGCTTCCCATTGTTCATCAATATATGTCACAACAATTGGATTTCGTATAAATTTTCTGTGTACTTGTTTATGTAGAGTATAAGTTAACTCTCCTTTTAACCAATCTTTTACTAATTTTAATGTTATATTTGGATTTAATTGTTTAGCAGTTTTATACAAATTATTTACACCACTAAATGATCCACTATTTTGTGGATCATAATATATTATATTCAACAACTCATTTATATTTTGATCCATTGTATAGATTTTTTAGATTTAGATTTTTTAACAGTCTTTTTATTTACTACTTTTTTAACAACTTTTTTGTTAGGTTTATGAACTTTTGTAGTAACTTTGCTTTGTTTTTTAGTTGTACTGATTAAATTATTTTTAATTAATACTTTAAAAACCATATCTTCTATTATACTTAGAAATGAATTATTAATATTCGGCAAATTATTTTTAATATTGTTATCATTTGTAACATTGTCAACAATGTTTTTAGTTACTAATGTATTTTGTTTAATTTTTTCAAATGGTTTACTATCCACACTCATTGAAGATATATCCATATCGATGTCATCATCACTATCATTAGTAACCAATTCAACTTTTCTGAATGACATTATTTTGTTATTAATTCGTATACAGTTGTTAGTAACGGTATTAACCACATCCAAGCGTTTCCTTTTTGTACAACACTTTTACAAGTTTTTAAACTTTGTTTCCTTTCAAACTTTTTAAGTAAAAGTTTTTTACTTTTATTCAATTTTTTAGTTTTTATATTTCCTTTTATAACATTTAATCCAATTTCTTTTATAGCTAAATATACTTTTGGGTCTTTAGCTAAATAATTCAATAATGTTTTTTGTGTTTTCTTACATTTTATTTTAGAAACAAACTGCAAGTCTCTAAAATATTTTTTCAAATTATCAGACATTACTTAGGTATATAGCAAATAATTTTCAATTTATTATTAATTGGTATAATATTTGTTTGTACTCTATATTTTTCAGGTGTATCCTGTTTTAGGTCTACTTTAATATAACCATATTGAACAGATGTGGCGTCAGTATACACTTCTATAAAGTATTTTGAGTTTTCCGGATATATCTGTGAGGCTAAGCTAATTATCTGTCTTTTATCTCTTGGGTTTTTAAGCAATATCAAATAGTGACAATTTAAACTAATTGTCCTCATTTGGGACCCTTGATGAAATATATTTTGTGATATAAATATCACACTTATATTCATATGATGACTACCTTTAGTAAATAAATTTGCTAATTTAACATTATTTCCCAACTCAGTCATCAAATCATCAATAACTATGAGATGAGGTTTAATCTCTTTTACTTCTTCTTCATTGGGTAGGCCTTCAATATATTGTATATCACAGTCAGCAATAGATTTAGTGTACAATTCTTGCCATTGTCCGTATGCCCACACAATTTTTAACTTATTTGGTATATCAGTAAAATATAAAGTTTGTTTATAATTCTCCAATATATTTCTAAGTAGTACAGTTTTACCACTACTTGTAGGTCCAGCGACCATACAAGTGAATGGGTGTTTAAATGAAATGTGTTTTCGATCCACTTTAATGCAATTCATTTTAAATAAAACATAGGTTTAATAATAAAAAAAATTTATTCATCTTTTATAAAATTTTATACATTTGATTTTGTATCAAATTTCCATTCACAGGTAGCCAATTCAGACAAGTATTTTACTAATTTGTTAGTATCTTCTGTTATACCATTTTTATGTCCAATTGCAGTCAGTCTATCGACGATGATTTTCATTCCCGGCTCTGACAACATATAAAATTTCATGTTTTTTAGCCGAATCAATTCAGTTTGAATGCACTGGTCTTGTTTTGGTCTCTTTAACGGTGGCTCTGAAATAATATAAAAATTTTAATATATAATTAATAAAATATATTAATATAAAATACAATACCTTCCAATAGTTTTCTTAAATAACTGTCTTTAAAGTGTCGTTTAGCCATACTTGTTAATGAATATAAAATAATTTTATTAAAAACATTACTTTATATAGTCAATTATGACCTCAATATGTATTCTTAGTTTTATATTTAGATATTTATTTATAGTTGATGTAAATAAATTAAACATAAAAATAGTTTTTAATCACATTTTATTTAAAATAATTTCAAATAATTAGTACAATAATATAAATATAAATAGTATTAAATAGTTTTAACATATTATTCATAAAATCCATAGGGGACAGTTTGATAAATAGGGTGTCCCCTAACAATTCTACGTTTTTCAGATACTGCCTGATATATCTTATTTA